TAAAATCTTTAAAACAAACAAACAGACAAAACATTGCTACCCTAATAGGCAAGAAGTACTAAGGGGCCAGTTTTGATCTTAACATGCATTTCCCTGAATCTTGTGTTTATTGACCAGGCACGTGGGCTTTGTCATTAGACCTAGGGTTTGAGTTTCAGCTCTGCCTCTTGCTATGTGGCTTCAGTTGAATTACTAGATCTCCATTTCTCATCTGTAAATTGGCGATAATGATAGTTCTTTTCTTTTTTGTAGGTGGGGCAGGAGCAGAGGGAGAGGGAGAATCTTAAGCAGGCTCCATGCCCTGTGCAGAGCCCAAGGCCAGGCTCGATCTTACCCTGAGATCATGACCTGAACTGAAATCTCAAGAGCCAGACGCTAAGCTGACCGAGCCACCCAGGAGTCCCAATTCTTTTTTTTTTTTTTTAAAGATTTTATTTATTTATTTGAGAGAGAGAATGAGAGAGAGGGAGAGAGCATGAGAGGGGGTTGGGTCAGAGGGAGAAGCAGACTCCCTGCTGAGCAGGGAGCCCAATGCGGGACTCAATCCCGGGACTCCAGGATCATGACCTGAGCTGAAGGCAGTCGCTTAACCAACTGAGCCACCCAGACGCCCCCTCTTTTTTTTTTTTTAAAGTAAGTTCTACTCTACCGATTGAGCCAGCCAGGCACCCCTGATAGTTCTTACTTTGTAGGGTTATTATGAGACTCAGATGAGAAAATAAATACAAAATACTTAGTCCAGTAAAGACTCAGTACCTTTCAGTTATTATAATTATGAAGAATGGCTTAATGTGTGACCATCAGATAAAACTATCTTGAGATATCTGAAATTCAATGGGATATTGATTTGTTTTTTAAATTTTTAAAATTTAAGAGAGGGAACACAAGCAGGGGGAGTGGGAGAGGGAGAAGCAGGCTTCCCGCGGAGCAGGGAGCCCGACGTGGGGCTCCATCCCAAGACCCTGGGATCATGACCTGAGCCGAAGGCAGATGCTTAACGACTGAGCCACCCAGGCGCCCCTGGGATATTGATTTAAATACCAGTTAGAATTGCATGGTCCTAGGAATAAGAAAGAATGCACTAAGGGTGCCTGTCTGGCTCACTGGGTAGAGCATGAAATTCTTGACCTTGGGGTCATTAGTTCAAGCTGTGCTTGGACCTAGAGTTTACTTAAAAAAAAAAAAAGGCATGAACCCACTAGGTTCATAACCTTTATCATTAGAAAAAAACATTTACGTATTTTGATTCCACCCATTACAAAGGTCTCTGGAACTAAAATAAAAACATATATATGTATTTTAAAAGGCCAAGAAATATAAAACAAAATCAAAAGATAAACTGGGTAGGACTTGAAGATTTCTAAGAGTAGTCAGAGGAATAGATAACAAGTTTTGCAATCTATGATATAATATGAAAAGAAGCTCAAAGTGAGTTGGCACAGTGAGAAGAATGGCTCTGAAAGTTTGCAGGTCCAGGAGTTATGTCCAGTGGAAACGTCTCATCAAAAGTAATCTTAATTAACTAGGTTGCAAACTTTCTTAGCAGCTCTGTACCTTTCAACTCGGAGAAGCTTTAAAATTAAGTACAGAAGAGCTTAATGGAGTAAAAACTATGGGATTAATATGTTGGGGTTAAGAAGAAATATGTGCATATTTCACATTTTATGCACTTGCAATTTTTTAAAAAGGTTTTTTCTTTCTTTTCTTTTCTTTTCTTTTTTTTTTAAGATTTTATTTATTTATTTGACAGGGAGAGACACAGCGAGAAAGGGAACACAAGCAGGGGGAGTGGGAGAGGGAGAAGCAGGCTTCCCGCGGAGCAGGGAGCCTGATGCGGGGCCTGATCCCAGGACCCTGGGATCATGACCTGAGCCGAAGGCAGACGCTTAACGACTGAGCCACCCAGGCACCCCAAGATTTTTTATTTTTCAATGTAATCTCCACCCCCAACTTGGGGCTTGAACTCAGGATCCCCTCCCTGCTCAGTGGGGAGCCTGCTTCTTCCTCTCCCTCTGCAGCTCCCCCTGCTTGTGCTCTCTCTCTGTGTCAAATAAAATCTTAAAAAAAAAAAAAAAAAAGAACACATGCTCTACCAACTGATCCAACCATGTGCCCCTGCACTTGTAATGTTTAAGAAAATTTGGCTCATTAGAGTGACAGCCTAGTATATATAATACAGTTAGTTTTAGACTTAAGATTTAGGGTTGAAATCATACTAATTTTGCACACAGAACTGGGCCATCTAAGAGAAATTTAGATTCATTGATTTGTAAGTTTGATTTATAAGGATTGCTAAGCCTCGAAAAGTTTCTAGGTTAGACAGTTGAAGAAATTGAATAGAAAATCTAATAAATTAAGTTTATAGACATAATTTTAAATATCTGGGGATGTTGAATTAACTAAGTTTGTGAATGGGACCAAAAATTATTAAAAGTTTCTGAAAAGTGATTGGTAAAATATGCCAGGCATAAAATAATAAAATTTCTTTTTTTTTTTTTTTTTAAAGATTTTATTTATTTATTTGACAGAGAGAGACACAGTGAGAGAGGGAACACAAGCAGGGGGAGTAGGAGAGGGAGAAGCAAGCTTCCCACAGAGCAGGGAGCCCGATGTGGGGCTCGATCCCAGAACCCTGGGATCATGACCTGAGCCGAAGGCAGACGCTTAACGACTGAGCCACCCAGGCGCCCCAAAATAATAAAATTTCTGAGCTGAACTTGACAGTTTAAGAACTTTTGAAATTGTAATAAATTAAATCTTTGCCTGTTTTATTTATTTATTTTTTGAGAGAGAGAGAGAGAGAGAGAGCACGCGCGTGTGCGCGCACACCAGCGGGGGGGGGGCGGGGGGGGGGTTGGGGGGGGAGAGGAAGAGAGAGAATCCCAAGCAGGCTCCACACCCAGTGTGGGGTGGGTGTGGGGTTGGGGGGGCTGGATCTGATGACCCTAAGATCATAACCTAAGCCAAAATCAAGAGTCAGAGCTTAACCCACTGAATCATTCCTAACGCCCCAAACCTTTGCCTGTTTTTTAATGAAAGGTGTTTTGTTCTAGGGTTTCAAGATTCTCACGATATTTTGAAGAAAGACCTAATAGATTGCAAATGGCTAGAGCAAAAAGCTTCCAGTGAGGGGGTGCCTGGCAGGCTCACTCTGTAGAGCATATGATTCTTGATCTCAGGGTCATAGATTCAAACCCCAGGTTGGGGGCAGAGCCTACTTTAAAAAAAAACAAAAAAAGCCTGGAGTCAGGTTGTGAAGGGGCTTATTTGCCATGCTAAGGAATTTGGACCATATTCTGAAGGGAATAATAGGGAAACAATGTAAAAAGGAGGACCTCAAGGGCATTTGCACTTTAGGAAGCACATGCTGGTGACAGTGAGGAGCTGGCTGGCAGAAGAGAGCAATAGAGATGGTGACAGTCTAAGCAGTATAATGACAGAGGGGATAGAGACAAAAGCAAGGTCCTTTAGTATACCAACTGCATGTAGGGCGTGAGGCAGGGAGCCTGGGGTGTCCTGAAGGCCAATGAGCACTTCTATTAACAGAGAATATAGCAGGAAAAGTCAGTGTTCAACAACTTATATTTGAAGTGTCTGCAGGATTTACAAGTGAAAATGTCCATTACACAGCTGAAAAAACTGAGTCAAGTCTTCTAGAGTCTGGTCTGGAGATGTACATTCACAGCTAGCTCTTCGGCCAGTATAAGGTGAGCGGGAATAAAAATACCGAGAAGGAGTGGGCAAAGGAAAAAACGGAACAGGTTAAGGACAGAATTCCGTTGAATACCAGTATTTTAAGTGCAGGCCACAAGCCATAAGGAGAAGGGGCATCCCTAAAAAGGGCTAAGAATCCCCTAAAAAAAGAAGAACTTGCAAAGAACAGAGGCAGGGAAACCAAGGGAAGGAAGCTTGGACAGTTCTCCTGCTTTAGCGACCACTTCTCTTTTAGGAGGGGGGCTGGGCAGTTGGAATCTGGCGCCTGCGGGCGAATCTGGGAGGGGACGAGGTCAGACTGCCAGACCCCGCAACCCTTGTGGCAGTCTGGGTCCTCCTTGTGTCCCACAAGAAGAGTTTGGGCCACTGCAAAGGACGCCTTCCTCGAACCCTTTGGTGCAAAGGAGTTTAGTTCAGTAGGCAGGAGAAAAGAGGGGGCCGTGCTTTTAATTTCAAGCCTTTTTAAAACTTTTATTATTAAGGTTTTATTTATTTGACAGAGAGAGACACAGCGAGAGAGGGAACACAAGCAGGGGGAGCTGGAGAGGGAGAGGCAGGCTTCCCGCTGAGCAGGGAGCCCCATGCCGGGCTTGATCCCAAGACCCTGGGACCATGACCTGAGCTCAAGGCAGACGCTTAAGGACTGAGCCACCCAGGCGCCCCTATTTTTATTATTTTTTAAAATTTTATTTATTTGACAGAGAGAGAGAGCACAAGGAGGGGAAGCTGCAGAGACAGAGAGGGAGAAGCAGGTTCCCCACTGAGCGGCTCTACCCCAGCACCCGAGCTGAAGGCAGACGCTTCACCGACTGAGCCCCTCCGGTGCCTCTTTTTTTAAACTTTTATGTGCATTTATTTAATGCTGAATTTAATCCCGGCCCATAAGCTTTTGTTTCTTCTGGAATACCTCTTTCTTCGTGCAACCTCCGCTCTGGTTTAGGAACACCGCTTTTTTTCAGTAAGGCGGCCTTTTCTGTCCCTGACGCGCCCATGGGGCGGTGGCCCGCAGGGCGGGGCTCCAGGGCGGGGACGACTTTCCCTGCGGCGCAGAGAGGACCGGGAGCTCCAGGGACGGGCGGGCTCCGCCTCCTTCCTTCCACCTCCCGAGGGCGTTACTGCGCGGGGCGGGGCTAGGGGGCGGGGCGGGCCCCGCCTCCTCTACCCGCGCTCCCGACGGCGAGGCAGGGCGGGGCCGGCGGGGCGGGCCCGCGGGGTGGGGCCGGCGGCGCGGGGCGGGGCCTCAGGGAGCAGGGCAGCCCGCGCACTCTGCAGGAGCTGCTGCTGCCGCCGTCCTCGCCTTCAAGGTCTCACCGCTTCCTCAGCAGAGACCCGGACTCGGCCGCCATGTCCGCCGCGGACGAGGTTGACGGACTGGGCGTGGCCCGGCCGCACTATGGCTGTGAGTGCGGGGGCTCTGCGGCACTGGGGCTTCGGGGCCTGGCTCGCTGCCTCCGGGGAGCCGGTTTCCCGGGGGCTCGGGCCGGCGGGAGGGTGCGGCAGGGCGGCTGCGGGCCGCGCGGACCCGGAAGAGCCGGCCGGGCCGGGCGGCGGGAGGGAGGGGTGGCGGGCGGCGAGGCGCCCAGCCGGGTCTCCGAGGCGGTGGCGAGGACGCAGGCGGCCTCCTTGCCTGGGCCGGGGCGCCACGATCCGAGGGCCCCACCCAGCGCCTCCCGCCTCCTGGAGCCGCCGAGATTCCGGGGGGGGGGGGACGGCTTCGTGTGAGGTGGCAGGAGGCCGGGGCAGGGCGTGTCCCGGAGACCCGGGCTCCGCTCGCGCTTCTCCGGGGAGGCGCTGCCCCGACTGCCTCCTGCGAGCTGGACCCGGGGTGCGGACCTCCCCGGCCAGCGGAGAGGGGCGGCCCCGGGCGGGCCACTTCACCTTTCTCGGGCTTAGTTCCCTCGTCAGAATTTCAAAAATTAAAACAAGAAAAAAAAAAAAAGGGGGGCAACCCTATGACTTCCTCATTTTTCTGAACCTCATTTTCTGTAGCTGTCCATGGGACGTCATTGAACTGTAGGTGGGAGAGATACCACTGGCCGAAGGAGAGCCCTTTGGAATCCTGAGATTTCGTTTTTAGTTTATATTCTGGGCATAATGGCCCTTTTTTAGGGTAATTTCACTCAACAGTTATGTCTGTCGCTTTGTGAAATTAAAGATGAGTAAGACCAGGCCCTGCCTTCCAAGAACGTTTAAATCAGAGGGACAGGTGTACACCCTAATGATAGTAAGGTGTAATAAAGATAAAAGGTGCTGAACCAGCCAGGCAAAAGCAGTAGGGTGGGTGCGGAGGAGGGGCTTGGGGGAAGGCAGTGGGAACACAGGTAGCCACGTTTCAACAGCCTTGAAGGATGTAAAGCTCGACAGGGCAGGGTGGGGTCAGAGAGGAAACTTGAGGAAAGAGCATGAATTAAGGTCTTGAAGGGTAGAAGGGCACAGTCGTGGGAGGAGGAGGGGCAGGGAGAGGGAGAAGAGTTTCCAAAAGTAGTTGGGGCCAAATTGGGAAAGGCCTTGAGTGCCATCCCAAGAAATTTGGAGTTTATGCCATACCGTGGCTGCCCATGAAGGAGGCAGATTGAGACGGACTGCCTGGGTTTGAATCCGGATCCAAGCGCTTATTAGCGGTGGAGCTAAGATCACCCAGTCTGTTTACTCATCTGTAAAACGGGAGTGATAATCACAGGATTGTTGTGGGCTTCAGTGAGAGGATGCACGTAAAATGCTTAGCGCAATTACTGCCACTTAGTTCTCAATGACTGCTGGCTTTGGTTATTAATAAAAAAGGGAAAACAACAGGATCAGCCTTGTATTTAGAGTCTGGCAGATAGAACAAATTTGGGCCAAAATCTCAACTCAGTATTTTTCAAGTTACAATAAAATTTATTGTTTATATTGTAAATAATGTTTATATTCTCGTACTTTTAAAAGGGGTAAGATGAATGTAGTTGAAACCCCATAGTTCCTGTATTAGGAGAGTCATTGTAGTACATCTGGCTGTCCACAGGTCTACAGGTTACCCTGCCTCTCTAGGTGACTATCAGGAATTTGATGCTGTGGCATTCTTTTGTCACTCAGAAAGGTTACAGATTCTTGTGTTTACATTCTTTCTTTCATGTTTTAGCTGTCCTGGATAATGAGAGACTCACTGCAGAGGAGATGGATGAGCGGAGACGTCAGAATGTGGCTTATGAGTACCTTTGTCATTTGGAAGAAGCAAAGAGGTAAAGATTGGCGGGCTGGAGAGAAGGGAGCTGTTATGGTGTGAACACAGATAAAGATCTCTATGAATGTGTTGTAGGTGTGGCAGTAGGAGGCTGGTAGTTTGAAGGAATAAGTGTAAGTAGAGTATTTACTCATGGGAGCAAGTAGCCTTGATGGCAGTTTATTGTGAAACTCTCTGACGGGCACTTAAGTATTCTGAAAAATTTCCAGATTTGTGTTGTTTAGTTTTGCCCTTGTGACGCATGTTTTGGGCACTACCAGCTGTAGGGGAGAAATAGCAGTTTTGTTTGCAAACTTTTTTTTTTTTTTTTTAACATAGGCTCCACTCCCAACATGGGGCTCAAACTCAGGACCCTGAGATCAAAAGTCACATGCTTTATGACTGAACCAGCCAGGTGCCCCAGAAATAGCATGTTTGAAGTTCTTGGCCTTAATGTCTCACTGGTTCTTCACTGGATTTGATTTATATATGAATTGGATTCATTTTCTGCTTGGTAGTGCCCTGGGAATAGGCCCATCCATTTGGCAATGTTCAAAGTTTACCAAAGTCAGCATCCTCTGCATTCTTCGTGAAGTGAACGTATTAAGGGCAGTTTTCCTTTTTTCAGATGCTCCAAGACCTTGTGGTCTTATTCTTAGAGTGTCAGTTTGCTATCAGGCGTTCATTTCTTTTGTTTTGTTGCTTGTGTTCCTTTGCAAGGCCCCCGGGCAGATAGATGTAATTACAGATCATTGTTTCCTATATGTGAGCTTTGGTGGAAAAGGCCAGCAGCACCGGATAATGAAAGGTATTTGTGGGGTGCCTGGGCGGCTCAGTCGTTAAGCGTCTGCCTTCGGCTCAGGTCATGGTCCCGGGGTCCTGGGATCGAGCTCCGCATTGGGCTCCCTGCTCCGCGGGGAGGCCTGCTTCTCCCTCTCCCACTCCCCCTGCTTGTGTTCCCTCTCTCGCTGTGTCTCTCTCTGTCAAATAAAGAAATAAAATCTATAAAAAAAAAAAAAGTATTTGTGATCAAAGTCTAATGACAATCAAGGGTGTTTCAAATGGTGCCAAAAAAACAAGAGTATTTTTGTTTGGTTTGGTTAATTCTGAAAAATCTTAAAACACTATAGGAAAGTCCAGAGAACAGTACAACAAACATCCTGTATTCCTGAAGTTACAAGTGTTAGCCTTTTTCCTTTTCCTCTCAAAAGACAAAGTTGGAGTCCCTTTTGTGCCCCTCCCTGGTCCCATTTTCCTTTTTCTGTCCCTGGTGTTACCTCTAACGTGCTTTAGAAAGTTTTTTTTTTTAAAGATTTTATTTATTTATTTGACAGAGCTAGAGAGCACAAGTAGGGGAAGCAGCAGAGGGAGAGGGAAAAAGCAGGCTCCCTACCACGAGCGGTGGGAGGGGCAGAGGGAGAGGGAGAAGCAGGCTTCCCGCTGAGCAGGGAGCCCGATGCGGGACTCGATCCCAGGACCCCGGGATCATGAACTGAGCCGAAGGCAGACGCTTAAGGACTGAGCCACCCAGCGCCCCTAACATGCTTTAGGTGTTTTGAATCCAGGCTTCTTTTTTGAGCTTTAAAGCTTTTCCTTAGACTGGGAGGAGGGGATTAGTGGTGATTTAGGTGGGGAGAATGTAATAACACTTGTTTCTATAAACAGAAGATTAGACGGCAGGAAGTGAATATGTAATTAGAAAAGGGGGTGTTTCTTATACAAAGTTTGTAAGGGCCCCGTGGGAGGAAAATATTAGGTCCTCTGTTACTTAAACCATGGACTAGGTCTAAGTTTTGGAAGGTCAAAGAATCAAAGCTGCAGCTGGTATCTGAGAGACCATCTTGTGCTCTGTGAAGGCTTAGGTGTCTCTGTTGAGGTGACCTGGGAATGAGAGGGAAGAACCCCAACTTCCTTATCCATCTGAAGCAGTTCTGCTTTTGTTTTAATCTTGGGTTTCCACAGTAAAATTCCCTTTTAACAGAGGGTGTCTTGGCTACCATTCCCTTGCTACCACTAATGTGGTTCAGCTACTCCTCTGCTTTAACTGTTTCATTTCAGGGACAGCTGGGTGGCTCAGTAGGTTGAGCGGCTGCCTTTGGCTCGGGTCATGATCCCAGGGTCCTGGGACTGAGTCCCGTGTTGGCCTCCCTGCTCGGCGGGAAGTCTGCTGCTCCCCTGCTTGCCCTTTCCCCTGCTTGCGCTTGCTCTCTCCTTCTCTCTCTGTGTCAAAGTAATAAAATCTTTAACTAACTAACTAAATAAACGTTTTATTTCAGCGAGGACACCAGAGCCTGAGTTTGCATTGGTCTTCATGACTGAGCATAGTTTTTTGTTTTAAATCAATTCAGGGGCGCCTTGGTGGCTCAGACAGTTAAGTGCCTTCTGCTCAGGTCATGATCCCAGGGTCCTGGGATTGAGCCTCGCATCGGGCTCCCTGCTCAGCTGGGAGTCTGCTTCTCGCTGTCCCTCTGCCCCTCTCCACTGCTGGTACTCTCTCTCTCTCAAAAAAAAAAAAAAAATCCATACTGTGGTTCTTAACCAAGTGTGTACATTAGATCACCTGGGAAACTTAAAAATACAGATATTTGGGCCTTACCACAGAGATTCTGGTTCAGTAGATCTGGGCTGGAAGGTGCAGACACCCGTATGTTTTAAATGCTTCCAGTGGTTCTGATGGGCTCCGGTAGTTGAGAAGCAAGATTTAAGAGGCTTTTAGAACTCAACCTCATGCTGGGTTATGATAGCCTGATGACAATGGTGCTTTTTGTCAGTCACATTTCCTTCTCCGAGTGCTGTAGTAACAAGGTACATTTCCATCTACTCTGGGGTGCATTCTTTTCTGTCAGATGTTTTTCCCAGAATAGAGAAGTAGCCTATTTCCTTTAACATCCATGATCACCTGGGGGATTTTTTAGTTGGACGCTTTTGCAAACTTAGGAAGTGACCAAGGCAGTGAGACATTTGTGATAGTCTTTATTTTTTATGCTTTGGGTTATAAGGAAGGGTATAATAGTGGCATATTTCCCTCTTGGCCTGACGTTGTGGAAATGTGCCTGGCTTTTTTTATGGAGGCAATCACAGGATGTGGTGGTGGTGGTGGTTGTTTAAAGCTTTGATTAGAAAATCAACTTTGGAAGCGTGTATTTAGATTTTACTACCAGAGAGGGCTAGGAAGAAGCCTGGGGATGTCCTGCAGAGAAAAGAAGACTGGGATCCTGGGGCGCCTGGGTGGCTCAGTTGGTTAAGCGACTGCCTTCGGCTCAGGTCATGATCCTGGAGTCCCGGGATCGAGTCCCGCATCGGGCTCCCTGCTCAGCGGGGAGTCTGCTTCTCCCTCTGACCCTCTTCCCTTTCGTGCTCTCTCTCATTCTCTCTCTCAAATAAATAAATAAAATCTTTAAAAAAAATATTAAAAAAAAAAAGACTGGGATCCCTATTGGCCATCTGAAGTGGCGGCTGCCACCCCTAAAAAGTGTCTGAGGTAAACCACAGACAAATCACCTGCCCTTCCGTATTAGCTGGGCCTTCAGCTCCCATTGGGTGCTGCTAGGGCCCCACTTTCCCCTCTAGTGAGAGCCCAGTTTGCCTTTTTGGGTTGGCCCCCATGCTGTTTCCCTCACAACCTCCACGCCTCCCAATTTGGAGGAGCCCGAGGGTCTGGAATTTACACCCCTTCCAAGTCCAGGAAGAAAGATCAGAGAGATCCAAGGGAAAAAAGGTTCCCCTCTTTAGTTCTGTTTATGATACTGATGTTCCTCCCACTAAGAGCTCCCCCTTCGAGTACAGTGGCTGCTTTGTGTATCCTAGGGCACTCCCATTTTCTCCCATACCTGAAATAGAGCTGTTTCATGAGAAGAGAGATTGTGTAGAGAGCATGAATATGAGTGCGTGGAGATAGTGAGTGTAAGGGTATTTGTAGAGAAATGACAGTTTTGTGTGGGTGTGGGTTTGTGTTTCCCTGAAAGGTTAAGTGCGAAAATTTACGAGTGGTTCCATAAAAGTGTGCACCGGGAGTGGTTGGAAAAAAGAGAATATAGAGATTCTGCTTTTTCCTATTTTTTGGAGAGTAGCTTTAATATGGAAATTAATAAAATAGCGTAAAATATCATCTGAAGATTCAGGGCTTCTTGCTAAGGGCTCCAGGGCAGACCAAGGACTTTAAATGTGGGTTGATTTTGTATCTTTTTGCCTGTTCTGATTGTGCTTTACATTTGTTTTGGCTAAGGAGCCATTGTACAGTAGAGGCGTGTAACATTTTCAGTTAGTCGAGAGAGGTGAAATTTAAATTTATGAGGTACGGTAGGGGCTCGAGTCTTGGTCAGGAGGAAGTAGTAGAGGGAAAGGTAAGAATGTCCTCGTGAGCAGCCCCAAGAAGAGCACACATCAGGCCGGGCAGAACAGGCAGTCTGCAGGTGTGGAGTACGTCTGAGCAGAGCCAGGAGAAAATTCAGTTAGGTTAAAGGTCACAGTAAGAAGGGTAACCCCAGCAGTCTTTGAGTTTGACGATGAAGCATGTGTGCTTTCAGAGGCTTGCTGTCATGGAGCGCCTTCCTCTTGGTGTGTCCATATCCCACCTGAAGGGGCAGGGTGCCCCCGCCCCCTTATAGAAGGGGAGGAGGGGCTCTGGCTGGTTGGAGACTGTCAGAGACGACATGGTGTTAACAAGAGCACAGCACTAGACAGAGACACTCCTCCTTCTGTAATTTGGGGGAATTGAGAAAGTACCTTGGAAGGAAATCTGTTCTTGAGAACAGATTCTCTTTTGTGCATATGTCTTTGTTGTTGGCATTGAACAGGTTGGGCTCTTTAGATCTCTTCTCCTCTTCCTGGGATCAGAATTCCAGTAACATCCGGATATATCCAGGCCGGCACACTGTGATCATGAAAACAAGTTAAAGACATTTAATTAGGCAAGAAAATAAAAAATGGATAGGTGAGGTGGCTCAGAAGAACAGCTTGCCCACCAGCTTCTAGAATTCTCAAATGGAGGAATATCACTTCATTTTTAGGAGGTTGACC